CAGTTATACAGGGCATTGGTGAGGCCACACCTGGAATATTGTGTGCAAGTTTGGACTCCTTTTCTGAGGAAGGATGCTCTTGGGAGTGCAGCGAAGGTTTACCAGGCTGATTTCGGGGATGGCAGGATTGATGTGTGAGGAGAGATTGACTAGGTTGGGATTGTTTTCACTGGAGCTCAGATGCATGAGGGGAGAATCTCATAGAGACTTATAAAATTCTAACAGGATTGGACAGGGTAGATGCAGGGAGGATGCTCCCGATGGTGGGTGTGTCCAGAACGAGGGGTCACAGTCTGAGGATTCGGGGTAGATGATTTAGGACAGAGATGAGGAGACATTTCTTCACCCAAAGCGTGGTGAGCCTGTGGAATTCATTACCACAGGAAATAGCTGATGCTAAAACATTGAATGTGTTCAAGAGGCGGCTAGATATAGCACTTGGGGCGAATGGGATCAAAGGTTATGGGGAGAAAGCAGGATTTGTCTATTGAGTTGGACGATCAGCCATGATCGTGAAGAAGGGCAGAGCAGGCTCGAAGGGCCGAATGGCCTCCTCTTGCTCCTATCTTCTATGTTTCTATGTAAGCCTTGGTGAGTTGCTGTAGCGTGTTTGAATACACTACACACAGTTACTGGTAGCGAACACAATTGGATTCAAATTGTCTTGACGGTAGGGGACAGAGGGTGGTTTGCTTTTTGGACTGGAGACCTGTGACCAATGGGGTTTCACAGGGATCGATGCTGGGTCCACTTCTGTTTGCCATTTATATAAACAATTTGGATGAGAATTTAGGAGGCATGGTTAGTAAGGTTACGGATGACACCAAAATTTGTGGTATAGGGGACGGTGAAGAAGATTATCTAAGAGTATAAAGTGATCTTGATCAATTGGGTCAATGGGCTGAGGAGTGGCAGGTGGAGTTTAATTTGGATAAGTGCGAGGTATTGCATTTTGGTAAAACAAACAAGGGCAGGACTTATACAGTGCCAAAAACAAAACATGCTGGAGATCACAGCAGGTCAGGCAGCATCCATGGAGAGAAAGTGAGCTGATGTTTCGAGTTACAGGAATTATACAGTTAATGATAGGGTCCTGGGAAGTGTGGTTGAACTGAGAGTCCTAGGGGTTAAGGTGCATAGTTCTTTGAAATTTGCATCGCATCTAGACAGGATGGTTAAGAAGGCATTTAGCACACTTGCCTTCATTGCTCAGACCACTGAGTATAGGAATTGGGATATAACAAGGTGTAGAGCTGGATGAACACAGCAGGCCAAGCAGCATCAGAGGAGCAGGAAGGCTGGCGTTTCGGGCCTAGACCCTTCTTTAGAATTTCAGCTCTACACCTTGCTATATCAGATTCTCCAGCATTGGCAGTTCCTCCTATCTCTATAGAAGTTGGGATATTGTGTTGAGGTTGTACAGGATGTTTTGGGCCACTGTGTCCAGTTCTGGTTGCCCTGCTATAGGAAGGATATTAAGCTGGAGAGGGTTCAGAAGAGATTTACTAGGATGTTGCTGGGAGGGTTTGAGTTATAAGGAGAGGCTGAATGGGCTGGGACTTTTTTCACTGTAGTATAAGAGGTTGAGGGGTGACCTTGCAGAGGTTTATAAAATCATGAGGGGCATAAGTAAGGTGAATGGCTGAGATCTTTACCCTAAGGTGGGTGAGTTAAAAATAGAGGACATATTTTTAAGTTGAGCAGAGAAAGATTTTAAAAGGACTATTTTTCACACAGAGTGTGGTTTGTGTGTAGAATGAACTGCCAGAGGAAATGGTAGATTCAGGTACAGTTGCAACAGTTAAAAAAACATTTCAATAGGTACATGAATATGAAATGTTTGGAGGAAAATGGGCCAAACGCAGACAAATGAGACTAGTTTATTTTGGGAAACTTGGTTGGCATGGACTAGTTGGACCAAAGGGTCTGTTTCTGTGCTGTATTACTGTATGACTCTATTTAAGCTAGTAGAGGGTCTACTGATCAAATGGGCTGCTTTGTCCTAGAGAGTATTGAGCTTCCGGAGTATTGATCTCATCCAGGCAAGAAGGCAATATTCCTTTAAACCTCTCACGTGCAACTGCATATTCTTTGAGGAGACAGGAGGAGAGTTACTGTCTCTGAATTTCTAGCTTCTGGTCTGCTCTTGTAGGCACATTTATGTTGGGTACCTCAGTTTCTAGTCAATCGTAGCTCCCAGTATGGTGTTAAGTGAGGATTGAGTGAGATAATGTTGTTGAATATCACAGGGAGATGGCTAGATTCTCTCTTGTTGGAGATGACCAATGTCTGGTACGCTTGGTATGAACGTTACTTGCCAGTTGTCAGCCTGAGTCTAAATTTCGTTCAATTCTGGCTGCATTTGGGCCATGACGCCTTCAATATCAAAGGAGTTTCGAATGATGCTGAACATTGTGCAACAATCGGCGAACATGCCCAATTCTGGCCTTATGATGGAGGGAAGGTCGTTGATGAACAAAAAAAACAATTCGCTGGAAAAGCTCAGCAGGTCTGGCAGCATCTGTAAAGGAAAAAAAAATCACAGTTAATGTCTCAAGCTGAATGACCCTTCCTCAAGGTCACCGGACCCGAAATGTTAACTCCGTTTTTTCCTTCACAGATGCTACCAGACCTGCTGAGCTTTTCCAGCAACTTTGTTTCTGTTCCTGATTTACAGCGTCCACAGTTTTTTCGGTTTTTATTTAGGTCATTGATGAAGATGGTCGGGCCTAGGACACAACCCTGAGGAACTCCTGCAGAAATTTCCTTGGATTGAGATGATTGATCTCCAACCACCACAACCATCTTCCTTTGCCTTAGATATGATTCCAACCAGCAGAGAGTCTTTCCTTTGATTCCTAATGACTCAAGTTTTGCTAGGGTTCCTTCTTGCTCTGCCCAGTGAAGCAGTTGACACTATCTCGTTGAGTGATTTTAAGGCAAGAATAGATAGATTTTTGAACAGGAAAGGAATTAGGGCTATGGTGAGCAGACAGGTAAGTGGAACTGAGTCCACAAAGAGATCAGCCATGGTCTTATTGAATGGCACAGCAGAGTCAATAGGCCAGATGACCAATTCCTGCTCCTATCTTATGTTCTTATGACACACTCGGTCAAGGAGTGACACTCTCACTTCACCTCTGAGAATTCAAATGTTTCCTCTATATTTGAACCAAGGCTGTAATGAAGTCAGGATCTACGTGGTAGAACCCTGACTGAGTGACAGTGAGCAGGTCATGGCTGAGTAAATGCCACTTTTGATAGCTCTGATGAGAGCTTTTTCCATCTCTTTGCTGAAGGTTCAAAGGGTATTGTTGGGAGAGTAATCAACTGGATTGGGTTGTCCTGCTCGAACTGGGGCAATTTTCTATATTGTTGGGTAGTTGCCAGTTGTTGTAGCTGTACTGGAACAGCTTGGCTAGGCATTTGGCATATTCTGGTGCACAATTTACAATTGCCAGAATATTGGTGAGGCCCATAGCTTTTGTAACATCAAGCATTTTTTGATAGTATGTGCAATAACTGAATTGGCTGAAGACTGGCATCTCTGATTTTGGGTACTTCCACATGAGGTTCATCCACATCAGGCTGAAGATGGGTACAAATGTTTCAGTCTTATCTGTTGCATTGACATGCTATACTGCCTCAGATGGGGTTATTTGTGAAGCCTCCACTTTCTCTTAGTTATTTAATTGTCTATCACTATCTCTAACAGAATGTGATAGGACTGCAGGGTTTTGGGCTGATCTGATCAATTTGAGTCGGATTAGTTAGTCCCATCTATCACTTGCTGCTCATGCTGTTTGGCACACATTGAGTCATAGAGATATACAACATGGAAACAGACCCTTTGGTCAAACTCGTCCACACTGACCAGATATCCCAATCTGACCTAATCCCATTTGCCAGCATTTGGCCCATATCCCTCTAAATCATTCCTATTCATACACCCATCCAGATGTCTTTTAAATGGTGTAATTGTACCAGCCTCCACCACTTCCTCTGGCAGCTCATTCCATACACGCACCACCCTCTGTGCAAAAAGTTGCCCTTGGGTCCCTTTTAAGTCTTTCCCCTCTCACCTTAAACCTATGTCCCTCTAGTTTTGGACTCCTCCACCCTGGGGAAAAAGACCTTGGCTATTCACCCTATCCATGTCCCTTGTGATTTTATAAAGCTCTTTAAGGTCACCACTCAGCTGTCGACGCTCCAGGGAAAATGGCCCCAGCCTATCTGGCCTCTCCCTACACACACAGTTGGCTCAAACTGTCCAACCCTGGCAACATCCTTGTAAATCTTTTCTGAACCTTTTCAAGTTTCACAACATGTAGCCCTGTGTTGTAGGTTCACCAGAGTGACACTTCATTTTTCATAGACAGTATTGGAATCTGTAACATTTAGGCCTGTTCGAAGAGGCTGTGGCTAAATGTTCAATATTATTCTTGGCTAAGATGGAGAAGAGCTGGAAAACAATGTAGACACAACCATCAGGCTAACACACGTGATACAATTTACTATTAATTGAACAATCATAACTGTTCGCTTTACAGAGCTACAAGAGATTGGCCAATATTTGTAAAGAGTCTCCAATTGCAACAGCAGCTGCAAGTTGCATTTTTATAGCACTCAATGTAGCAAAATATTCCAAGGGGCTTCTCAGGGGTGGTACCTTC